CTGAACATTCCCAAATCCCCAGGTGAATAGCTCATCCTGGGAGAATGGTCTTGTCCTGGGACAGCGCAGGGATCCCTGCTCCTTTGTACTGGGATCCCCTCCAAAAATAGGGATGTGTTTGTTCCAATGGGGATGAGTCCTGCCCCTGTCCTGTGGGAACCCCAAAGCCCAGCCCAGAGCTCTCATCTCAAGCTCCTGGTCCCCCATGGGGTGTGGATGCTCCACGTTCCTTGGCAGCCTTCACAAGAAATGGCATGACATACATCCCTGCTCCTTGTTTTCAACCTGGCTCATCCCCAGGGATGGAGAAGATCCAGGCACTACCAGCAGGCAGGATGCAGACCCCTGCGAAATGGGAGGCTGTTTGCTCCTTCCCTTTGGAATCTTAAATGGCTGAGAGCTGCTGGGTCCCTTCTCCTGGGAATGACACAGGAGATGACGCTGGAGCTGCAAAGGCTCTCCCATAGCAGAACCTCCCTCCTCTGGTAGTTAAAAAACAGTTAAAGCCATGAAAACCCCAAACCTCATCCTTCTAGTGGAGATACTCATTCAGATGGTCTTTGGCTTCAGTTCATCAGGAGAAGAAGGTGCCTGTGGGAATGGAGGGAGCAGGGACTTGGCAGTCAGCATCAATGCTCAGGTGCAGAGGGGGAAACTGGGGCAGGGAAGGGGCACAGCTGAGCTCTCTGACAGATTTTGTCCCCTCCACCAGCCCTGGAGAGGGGGGATCTGTTCCCCAGTTATGCTATGGGGGAAAGACAGATATCCCTGTCTCATCCCCTTGTTTCCCAGCCCTTTGCCAGCATGGGGGCTGGAGCATTCCAGGGCTAGAACCCAGTTATCCCATTATCCCAGCAAAATCCACTTCCCTGCAGCAAGCATGCCATGGGGAGGGAGGACCCTGTGGAGCTGGGATGGGAAGCTGGGCAGGGGATGTGGGGGCTCCTAGCAGAGATGGGATGTGGGAAGGGGCCAGAAGGAAGTGTGGTTGAGGAGCAAATCCTGAATGTCCCCTTGGAACTGCCCCTAAGAGCTCACACCTCTGATGGCACCCAAGGGTGCTCATGCCCCTCAGGTGAACCATCCCATGTTCATGGGACCCTGATCCTGAGCAAGGGCCACTCTGTGGGATGTACTTGACCCCAGACACCAGGGAGAAAAACCTTCTTCTGAGACGACACCCAAGATATGGTTATTAGGACCTCAGCACGCAGATTTCCCTTGGGAAGAGGCTGGTTTTTGGGCACCTCTCCACGGGACATCAGATCTCACTGGGCAGCAAGAGCTTTTCCCACGCCGCTGGCCATGAATGATGCATGAGGCCTTTATTAATACCCCTCTGAAAGTGCATCAATAATTGATGCTGAGCCTGAAAGCTCAGGGGAGGCACTAGGCTCCAGCCTTGGCCCTTTGCTTCCTGGCCAGCACTGCCGGGGGAGGGTGGGAGGGATGGGGCATCCGTCACGGCGGCTGGTGCAGCTGCTTCTGGGTGGGATGGGATTGACTACATGTGATTGTGTTTGTAGGAGGAGAGGATCAGTGGCACCCCAAATCCCAGGGGATGGGGACAACCATTTGACCCCATGTTGGCAGCATCCTGTGCCCAATTCTGCCTCTTCCCCTGCGTCCACATCAGAAAGAAGAAAATGTGGCAGTGCTGGATGGCTTTGGCACAGGAGCCAAGCTAAGGTGCTCAGGGACTGGATGAGGATCAAGCCCAGGATTAAACCAGAGTGATCAGGGACTGGATAAGGACCAAGTCAGGGATTAAACCAGGATGATCAGGGACCAGCTCAGGACCGAGCCAAGGACCAAGCCGGAGTGCTTGGGGACCAGCTCGGAACCAAGCCAGGGACCAAGCCAGGATTCTTGGGGACCAGCTGGGAATGAAGCCAAGGGCCAAGCCAGGATGCTCAGGGACTGGATCTAGACCAAGCCAGGGTGATTAGAGAACAGCTCATGGGCCAAGCCAGGGTTCTTGGGGACCAGCTGGGGACCAAGCCAGGGTGCTCAGCAACTGGGCCAGGAACAAGCTGGGGACCGAGCCAGGATACTCGGGGACTGGATCAGGATCAAGCCAGGAATTAAATAAGTGTG